ATGCTCAGTGAGAGGGGTAACACCTCCACACACACACGACTCCTTCAAGGTCAGTCCAGTAATGCTCCAATCGAAAGTGAGGTAGAACGTCCTTACATTAAGAACCACTCTGAACCGGTTTGGTGTCAAATAACTCTAACAGATATTGTTTTAGAAGAGATCAAAGACCAAAGCGGATTCTGCCAGTCACATACTTAAGGAGTGAAACCGGGCAAAACAATCAAGTCACAACCCGGTTTGTTGACATAAAAGAAAGCAGTCCTTCTGGGGCTTGTTGACAGAAAGGTGAGCAAGTGGCTGGCTGTTAAGTGACCAAACAAAGTTAAGTTGATACATTCTGCATTTAACATGCATGAAAACAATGAATGCTCACTAAATTACTCTGGCAATTTCCAGACACAAAAGACCTTTATTCTGTCCCAACAGATGAAATCAGCTGTTTTACTGCATTACAGATTTCACTTCTGCACAATATTAAAAGTAAAAGTGGCTTCATGTAAGAGCCTCATATATCATCTCATTATATAACAATCACATACTGTAGGGTAGACAGGCTCTTCGAGAGCTACTGCAAAGTGCAAATTATGCCCTTCCATCCAGAAACGTAGTCGCTCACCTAAACGCCAACCCATTCTCTGCCAACTCCCCAGCTGTCTCTAATGAGTTGCTTGAAATAATTTATTGGAATAATAATAAGAGAGCATGGTGGTCATGCAGGAAGGACAAACAGTCAGGCTCAACGAGCAAATACAAAAGAAGCAACTTCCATCACAGGATGGTGTGCTGCATTGTAAGCTTTCTGCGATAGATGGTGTTTCCGGTTATACCGGTGTTAAGCCGCAAAACCGGTTACGTCATTTGCCTACCGCGGCACCGCCCCCCACTATCGTTTAGATTTTTTTTATAGTAACAAAAATCATTTAGCCTAGTTCAGTTAGAGGACAGACACTAGGGCTGCACGATAAATCGAAAAAAATCGTCTGCAATTTTTGTGTGTAAATTGTCAGTGAACTACGGCTATGTGTAGTAAATTCTGCTCTATCTGAAAGCACGTGATGATGATTTCCTGCTGATTACAGAACCGGCATTACTATCAAATTGCCATGACAATCGCATTTGATTAATCGTGCAGCCCTAACAGACATTTTTAAAAACTAAATGCTCAATGCAGCGTGCCGAACCGTGCGCGAATGACAGTGCACCATGGAGCAGGAGTCAGTTTATAAATAAATAGATTTTATTTATCACGTGAGGAGAGTGAGTCGAGCTGACTGACAAGAGTGAGGTGAGAAAGACAAGACGATGGCAGAAGATTGTTTAGAAAGGAAATGCAAAGGCGCCTGTTTGGCAATATTTTAGATTTTGAAAAGTCTATTGATTGGAAGTTTTTTTAAACATTTGTTTCTTATTTATTTGGTTCCACAGTGTTTGCTGATTTTCAGTTTTATATACCCATTTAAACTTTGTGTAGCCTAAGTAATGTGTTATTTTATTAGGAATATATGGTGTATTTTTATTCGTTTTGTTAATAAAAGTTCTGAGTTTGACGTTGTTGTTGCTTGAATTGAATCAACGCCTAATTGGTGCTAATTTGAAAGTGACAGTAAAATGCGCACGCCACTTTTACAAGCCATTTGAAAGCGAAGAAAAGAGGGAAACTTAAACGAACTAACTTTTAAGAACTGCCGGGTTTTCCTGTAGTAGGCGGAACTAATGCGCAAACAGCAATCTCATTGGCTGGTGATCACCTATTATCGTCCCTGTTTACATTTCAGCGAATCAGTTCAAGCAAAAGCACACAACCTGATTAATATTCATGAATCCAGTAGTTAATTAATCCTTAGTGTGTTTTTATATTGTTCTTAGTAGAATTCGTATAATAATAATATCTTATCAGTATTATTGTTCGGGTTTTTTTTTTTTTTTACAGGAACACTGAATGACCAAAAAAAGCACCAGCCCTAAGTTCATGGTTACCAAGTTTTAATTCTAATTACTAAACTTCTATTATTAAATAATACTTGATTATCATATTATAATGCTTGACTGACTGATATTAAGAGTGTACTTTCAGATATTTAAAAAGCTGTACCATTTTACAAACATTATATGTGTTTGTAAAATGGCATAACATACATATACAGTGTATAAAAAAAAAAAAAACTCATTCTGATACACTGCCGGTTTTTCAAGTTTTCCCACTTAATTTAGTGCAACACTTTTATTTGTTCCCCACAAAATATATAGTTTTTTCACTAAATGTTTGGATTTCTAAAATTATAGAGCACTGATTTTTCTAGAATAACTTTTGCTGCCGAATTATCCATTAACCTAGTTTATGATAAATTTTTGTCATAGATTATAAATATACATAGGCCTATATTTTTTTCATATTTGTTTATTTTATTGTTCTTTATAATGAAGTAGTCTGTATCTAGTAGATTGTGAAAGAATGATTATCAGTTCCACACACAGAAATATATAAAAATTCTACATTTATTTAAATGAGGGAAAAAAAACTTCACTGGTATCGGATCTGTATCTGTATCGGCCAATACCGAACCATAGGTATCGGAATCGGTATCGGAGGCAAAAAAGGCGGATCGGAGCATCCCTAATTGTTTCAACACCCTTTTAACAGTTGGTCAAACACAACAGCAAAAGGGCCACAAACCACCTCCATTACTCCAACAGCATGCAGATAATGTGGATATGATTTTTCAACAAAAATTTAAATCCTGTCATTATTTAGGCTACTTCCTTTTGTGGAATTGACCTATCGGTAAGCCCCTCCCCTCGAACGCAGATGAGCCAATGGCAGTAGAGTATCAGTTGCACGGGGGAGCGGAACTCGGACATCTTTAGTTTTCAGCGCCATAGAGAAACATTGGAAGATCCGAAGCTCACATCAGTTTAATGGTGTTTATGCCACAAAAATGGAAAAACGATGTGCCTGGGGTACTTGTAACACTGATTCCAGGTATCCTGAGAGGATAGGCAATATAATTTATTTTATTACATTAAATTATTACAAATTGTATTTATTACAAAATGTCCCTAAGCATTCAACCCCAATCCCAATGAAGACAAAAACATTCATTTTCTTGTTGTCATACTCCCATTAAGTTACAATTTTCATCTGCTCAAGCAGAATGTTATGTCATCTTGCGTTTCAGCAAGGTAACTTATCTCTGGCTAAAACACTTTCAATGAACTTTAATTTTGTAAAATACCTGTATTTGTTTAAGTTATTATTACTTAATCAAAACAACCCAACTGTAGTTTGATTGATATTACTTGGAATGCACAATTAAAAAAAAAAAACGTGATTTCTGAAAATAAAATAAAAATGGAGTTATCGGTTTTTTTAAATATACTCTTCATTTGTTCTGACCAACATCTCGTGTCGTTTTCCACAGAGGAATGTCAAATAGATTTAATCTATCCCTTTAAGACAGTCAAATTAACAGTATACATTCAAAACCGAACATTTTCATAACTGTCTGCCTTTGTCAGGTTTGTTGACTACAGCTAAAAATGGGTGTTTATTGTACTGAAAATATGCCCATGCATGACAAAAAAAATTGAAAAATCTGTAATCGTTTAGTCACCTTTAAATAGTTTTCAAACATGTATGACTTACTTTCTTATGTGAACTATGATATTTTGAGAAATATTCCACAAAAAAAAGAGAAGTGAAGTTCATTGTAACCACATGACAAGACAATGTAAAAATTAAATAAAACAACCCAGTGGAAAGTAAAATTAAAAACACTTTTCAAAATCAACAGTTGTTTGTGAGGGTGAACTTTAGCACCTACGGTAAATTATATAATTGTGTCCAGTCAGCAAGTTTGGAGCTGCCAAGTTGCTGTTCAGTCAAACTCACAGAACTGACAACATTTGCATGAGAAACAAACACCCAAGTACTTGTATTATAGTCACATTACATGCCAGAACTGTGAGAATGATCAAGCATTTTAGATGACGCTGAGCAAAACAATAGACTAACACACAGTAAACACTAAAATATACTGAAATTATCAGTTAAAAATACTATTAAATGAAATGTGCAACAACTGAAAAAGATTTTCACTGTTTATAACCGTGCAGGAGAGATTATCATCAAGACATCAAGCTTCTTAAGTTGTAACTAAAAAAAATACTGTGGCCTGTAGAAGGAAGATGTGATAAACTTTGGTTTATTATCTCAATATATTTTTGTGCAAAGTTAATTGTAGTAATTTTAGGGTTGTAAAACAATAGGATGTTTGAAAGGGCCTGAGCTTTTTCTAAAACTCTTGTGCTTAAAGATCAACAAGGACAAGATGAAAGACACCGACCAGTTTTTCTCAGTTTAGTTTGCAGTAACAAACATGAAGTCAAAAGATTAGGGTCAGTCCACACCTCCTGATCCAAAACCATGTGATCATCAGTGTTGGGGGTAATGCATTACAAGTAACGCGAGTTACGTAATCAGATTACTTTTTTCAAGTAACTAGTAAAGTAACGCATTACTTTTTGATTTACAAGAGAATATCTGCGTTACTTTTTCAAATAAGTAACGCAATTTATTTTCCCCCCCCAATTTATTGATTGACAGCTCTCCTGTCCCCATGTTGAGAGAAATCAGAAGATGTTACTGTAGTTCTAAATCATTACTTTTAAAAGTAACTTTCTCCAACACTGGTGATCATTAACAGTGACAAAGGCAAAAAATTACATCAGATTATATGGAAGCATCATCTGTCTTTGAATTTATGGGAAGCACCAAGCTAGTTCCTCTTTTTATGGCAAGGAACAACATGTTAGAACCTAAAGCACGGATATGGCGAGGTGCAACCTTTAGTAACCGCATGTTTACCTTGATACATCTTTCCTGAACTGCTTATGGCTCTATGTAACATGTCTGAGGGGTTTGGGGGGCTCTTATAACTTCACCAGTAAGTTTTGCCACCTCGTTACATGTGTGGCCCAAACAAATGGATCCATTAACTTACCTTCAGCGATCAGCTCTTCCACCGTCACTTGGTAACGACCGACAGCAAACACCTTTCCGATGTAGTTGCTGCTCCCAGTACCAGATCCAGAACCACCCCCGAGACTTCCGCTCTCTGACTTCGGCATACGCGAAAACTTCTTCATGCTTGCCTCTTGTGTTCCCGCCTTCCCCAAACGGACAGTTCCAAACACGCTAACGACTCTTAAAAATCCAATCTGCTCATCTCCGCTCTTTTGTCCAGCATGCTGAGAGAACTGCTCTCCCGAGATGCGCCAGGCACTTCAGTGCTCGAGGGACGCAGAAAGGCGTAACGTTAGCTGAACGCTTCCTAATTTCCTCCAAAGCCCGATGAAGCAACTGCATAGAAGTAAACCGTCAGGGCAGCGTTCTGTCGTTAATGAGTGACAACAGCACGAGTGATACCGTCCACGCTGCTGTGCTTTCAGGCCGACTCCAGTTGCGGCGGAGAGACCATTCGCCTCGCTAGCTGGCTAACAACAACAGCAAAACGCTCTGTTCAGCCAAAGTAGTCTTTTGTGTTCGGCGGAAAGTCCAAGTTGGCTGAAGTCCAGGCTATCTGAAACCAATGTGAACAACAAACAGGCAGAAAGTGGGTGTGTTAGGCGGAAGCTACGCTAGCGAAACTCTTAAACGATGACTACTGCCACTTCCCCTTCGGATAGTTTAGTTAGCCAGCTCGCTAGCTGACTGGCTTCCTCTATCTGCTTGAACAGGTCACCGTGTATCACAGTCAAATGTATCGCTACAAAAATAAGCCAGAAATCCTCCGAGCGGCCGTACTTTTCAGATGTTGCGCGAGCAGCGTCGGTTATAATGTTTTTTTTAAACGGCAGAGCGCTTCCTCGTGCTCTGGAAGTCCCCTGTCACACTGGTAAAGTTCGAACTCCCGTGACTCGCCGTAGAATTGCTGGGAGGTTTGTTATTGCCCAATCCGCCTGTCTGACAACCTAACTTTGTTTTGTCCGATTCCTTCCTATTGTCATGATTGGTGTGAGCGAGATGCGTCCTGTAGATACTCTTCTCTGATGGGATGAAACGGATGACTGTCTCTCTGCGTTTTGTTTAGCAGTTTGCTTGATAAAGATCTTAACCAATGTGTTAGTCCGTTGAAAGCTGTGAATGAATTGTGTGAGAGTGTGAGGTGCAACTGGCACATTCTGCGAATACGGTACACTTTTATGTCCCATGGTTTTTTTTAAGCACTGGAGGCACAAATCCAGTGTTTTTGTTGTGAGAATTATTGGATATACTATTGAACATAACATTAACTTAACTTGAAAGGTAAAATGGGAATTAAATACAGTAGGCCTAATAAACTAATTTTAATTAGCAATGTTTATTACAATAATGTAACATTCTATTTATGCATGTATGCATGCATGTGCTGTTCAAAGGATTCATTATGTGGACCCTTTGGTAGGGTTTAATGATTTTCTAAATTATTAAACAAATTGTGTGTTGACTTTATTTATTAAGTTCAACCATACAACAAACATTTTCTACAAGCCGTCATTTGCTAGTCTCTACTTATGTTATTTAGTCTAAATTTTCAACCTGGTTACCATTCATATTTAATACATGTCTGTTTGATTTGGATGGTTATTTAATAACAATAATAAAAAAAAAAAAAATAAGTCACACAGACCAGCGACCTCAACATTTAATCAAGCTTCAGGCCCTATTTTAAACCTATTCAAGATTTTTTGCATAGTGAATTGCCTACAGTTTATATTATATTCCCTGTTAAGTACAAAACGGTGAATTACGTATAATAATAAAAAATATTTGCCATCTACTTGATATTGTCATCGTCGTCAACATATTTTTTTCAATAAGTTTGGGAAAATAACTGTTATAAGTTAGGATTTCCTTTTTTATATATACACAATACCCTACATATACAGTGGGGAAAAAGTATTTAGTCAGCCACCAATTGTGCATAAATTTCAAACGTGACACTCATTATTCAATGTAATTTATGTGCAATCAGAACACTGATTCAGCACTTGATGACAGAGATGACATCAGATTGAGACAGTCACATGATGTTAACCAGTCTGGATGGACAACACAAGACCCTCTGAGGCTCCTCAGGTACCTCAGTTATTCAGTTCATGAAAATGTCCTGCCCTCTAATGGTCAAACACTGCAAAATGAGCATGTGCCTTCTCATCCCAGAAAAGAAGAATAGGTATTGGCTATGTAACTGTGTATTCATATTTGCAATTCAACATATAAAATGACTAATTTACACTCAGTTAATTGCATAACATGAGCAAGAAAATCATGACCTGTTTAAATTGTTATATCCAGAAAAAACATCAAGGGCTGTAAAACCAAATGTATATGCTTGTACAAATGTGACAGCTATCTGATAATTGCTACAGATGTAGGTCGATGGAGAGACAGAGGACGAACTGGAGTCTGGGATTATTACATGGGATTAATGAGGATCTTCTGTTCCCTCAGGCTCTTTTCCACCTCAATACAAATCAACTCCCCTGACTGTGCAAAGTTTCATCAGCAGCAGCTCCCTGAGCAGATGACTCAAGACTGTGCACACTGCAAGAACGCTCCGATATCCTGGTTATCTTTATCATAATGTGTGAAGTTTTGATTTTGGCTGTTGCATAACACTTTTGGGAGCTGTGATTTTGCATAATTATCATATGTCTAATTAAAAGTAGAATCTATTGTCACATTTATTAAATTAACCAAGGTCCAATTTTTCCCCTTCGTTTTCCCCTTTTTTTTTTTTTTTACCAAAAGTAGGCTTTTAAGTCTATACAATCTGCAGGAAAATCTGCCTACAATTTAGTCTAAAATGTGTTATGAAAAGGGTAAAGTTCAGAATAAACAGTTCAAGCAGGAACCATATGGACAGAGTAAGGCCTTATTAGGAAGTACTTTTTTTTTCTTAATGACATTAATGTCTGGCAAACTGCCGTCAATACTGAGATAAAGTGCGGCAGATAAATTCAATGAAATTATAGAAGTGAAATAGACATGGAAAGAACAGTGACATTTGGGACAATGATTAAGAAACCAAAAAGATTAAGTGGTATAAATCGTTTAACTACATTATTTTGTCCAGACAACATTTAAAAGCACTTATCCATATAATATCGAAATGACAAAATTAATGCAAAAATATTTTTTTTGTTTGAACAAATACTGAAATGCAGGAATATTCATAGTAATATTTAATATTAAATTAATATTCATGATTTACCAGAATTCCAACATTGCAATGTTCTAAAACATGTTGTATATTAGTTTTTTTACTAATTTGATTTATATCGCATATATTTACCTTATTTTGCCTTATGAGTAATTTAGACAAAGAAACAGGGGAAATGTTTTCAACAGCAATCATGAATCAATATGAATTTTACTCTGCCATTACCTGCAGTAAACCAGCTACATAAACTATTTTCTGAAAAAGCGTTAAAATATTACATATACACGTATTCATTTAACATATTGCAAAATAACCAAACAGGACATCTTTAGTAGCATTTCTGGGTTAGTCTTCTCCACAAATCATCTTCAAGCAATCACCGTAGATGCCAGACGCGTCAGACTGAAATAAAAATGAGCAAGGTTACTCTTCATAAATCAAATACAAAACTCCTCATCAAAAATTTGTTTAATTTGCATGGAATATATTGACACATATGGTCACTGTCAGATATGAAGAATGGATTGTCAAATAAACATTTGTGAATGTTACGATATCTTGAGGGCATGATTAAACGAATAAACCTGAGGATCAGGAAGTGATGTACTATAGGCTTCGAGCACATTAAAGAACAATGGCAGATGGCCTGAACCTGTTCTAAAGTGTTTATATGAGTGGAGAATACTTACACTTATTTCCTTGTAGAGTGAACGCTGATAGAGCTTCTTGAATTCAGCTCTGATGTCCAGCATGTCAACCTCTCCACGGCTGACCATTACTCTGGTCAGAGTGGTTTCATCTGTACCTGCTCCCTGCAGGTTCACAAATAAACATCAGTGTTGTACAAACTCAATGACCGACAATAATGTGCTTCTATTTGTACCTTCATGCTTTTGTAGAGTTTTTCAGCAAAGTATGCAGGAGTACTCATCACACACTTTACTAGAAGGAAAAAAATAAGGTGTATTTAATAAAAAAATATGTAGAGGTTAAAAAAAAAATCAAATACCAAATGCTTATTGTGCATTTGATTTCATAATTGAAAATTTTACCAATGGCAACCAGCAGTTCCTCCAATTTTCCAGACATTTCCTTCTCAATGCTCTTTTGCAAAGTCTTGCCACTGATGTTTTTATATTCCAGTATTGCTGTAATACAACATGTCAAGTTAAATTTAAAACACAGCTGCCATTTCAGTTCCTATGCAAAATGCTTTTGCTTATTTAGATGATTATGTTGGGTACTTTGTCTCAGGTGAGGAATGCTCCTTTTACAGAGGATCTCGATGAACTTGGACTCATCAGTTCCCAGTCTCTTCTCACCTGCATGATAGAGTGCCTATGGAGGAAACCGAGAACATGTAGGTGCTCACATCTAATCATAAATAACATCATCTTTAATACAGGTGAACTGGTTTCGGCTTGCGATCTATGATGAAGGGCTTAATTAAAGAAATAAAAAAGACAAAATGGTGAAGTATTGAGATAAGGAGAAGCACAACATATGCATCCCGGTCGGGGGATGGGATGAGGCGAGGACTCAAGATGCATGAAGAAATATGGCTCTTCATTAGTAGAAAAACAAAACAAAAACTACCCCAAGGGGGAAAAACAAGCAGGCAACGGCACAGCATGACCAAACAGGAAGCAACACAAGTACATACAACCTCCAACACAACAAATAACGAAGCAGAACAGGATTGCAAACACAGGGAGACTAATGCCAAGTTCACACTTCACGATTTTAGCCCGATTTTTCACTCGCCGACAGGTTTTGCGAAATCGCCGACAAATGCCCGAAATCGGAGGCAAATCGGTGCTCGTTCACGCGAGTGACAATCACGCAGTGTGAATTATCAAAGACGCGATCTGAGGGAATTGCCGACGCCCGTGAAATATTTGGCATGCTAAATATCTGGAGCTGTCGGCGATTCACAATCACGCTGTGTGAAATTATTTCTTACTGAAAACTACATCAGGGATGACCTACAGCCAATGAGAGAACAAGATACAAGGCAGTGGGAAGTTCGGGGAGGAGTTATATGAAACGTAGTTTGCGGACCAGTGTTGCCTGTGTTTACAGTTGTTTTTTATGTCAGCAGGTTGAAGCGACCCCGATCACGTGATATTTAGGCCCTGGAATGTGAATTGTACCAGAAGAACCCCGCCAAAAAAAATTTTATTTTACCCCCGAACGCAATTTTTACTGGGGGACCCCCTCGAAAGCAATTGGGCTATTTTCAGGCTAGTTTTGAGTAGTAATTGGGGGGGTTTTGTAGCGAAAACCTGGCAACCCTGCACCAGACAGAGCTGTCGCTATTCTTCCTATTGTAAAGTCATGCAGTGTGTAACCTCCTGTCGTCGTTCTATCGTGCAGTGTAAACACAGCAACAACTGAATGCTACCCCAGATAGTCGTTCAGTGTGAAACCAACAGTGATGCGACGTCTTTAAAAATCGTGCAGTGTGAACTCGGCATTAGTAGGGCAGGTAATGAGGGAGACACAGGTGGAATCACTAAAACAACAATGAGGTAACAAGATGGGTGGGGTCAGACAATAGACAGGAGAAAGCACATGGCACCAAACAAACACAACACAAGCCAAGTGCCTACACAAACACACAGTGTTCTCTGGTGGCCATCCTGGGCACACCAGCTGAAGACTGTGACAATATGCTGTATTTCCATACCACAGAATACTTTTTTACTTAATCCTACTGAAAAAGAATCCTGAAAGCACAGGTTCAATTAAAAGTGATTATGTTCAATACCTTTGCATCCTCTCTAGCCTTGTCTGCATTCACATTGGTGCTTTCATCCCTCGCGCCCTTACAATGAGAGACAAATAAAATATCATTAACTTCCAGAGCTGGCGTTCTTACAATAAACTGCTATACATGAGTATTTAATCACCTCAGCAAGCAGAAGGATGGCTTTGCCAAAATCCCCTGAAACTTCGGTCTTTAGGTTCTGTATCAGCGTTTTCTTTGTTTCTATTGGGCAAAGGGAAGGGAAGCAATTATACATTTTTGTAACTTTCATATTTTGTTACTACAATAGATTCCTCATCTCACTCTCAGCATATGCTGCAGACAGCTCCTTGATTTGTTTATTTGTCCGTGAGGCAAGTATTTCTATCAGGATGTTGATGTCCGTTCCAGCCCCCTGAAAAACATCCCATAAATGTATTAGGAAAACAATGAAAAATATGCATAAACAACAAGCAAAATATGTTCACATAGATATAGTTGAAATTTGTTTGAGATTATTGCTAAATGTCTCATTTTGTTCAAGATTTAAAATGAAAAATTAGGAAATGCACGTTACTTTCATTGCTTTGATTAGCCATTTAGAATCATTGAGTGCAGGCGATCTGGCGAGCGCAACAAGCAGCTTTTCAAAGTTGCCCCTGGTGTCGCCTTTCAAGTCATTTACTAGAATCTATGGTGAAGACCAAAATTAGGCATATGATAATATAATTTTCCTCAAATGTGTTTGAGCAAGAGGACACAGATTTACCCTCTTTGTGGTTTCTTCATATGCCTTTGAAATAGCCTGTTTCTGACTGCTGCTCCTGTGAGTCAGTATGTCTATCAGTGTCTTCTCAGTTGTACCTGGTACAATATATATATTCATGTATACACAAAGAATACACATATTGCATTATACATATAATACAGTACAGATAGATTATGTACCTATGCCTTCAATTGCTTTACGGAGAGCTGCAACATCTTCACTGACGTTGAAGTTAGAGTTGGCTTTAATGGTACCTCGCTCCCCTGGCTAAAGAAGATCAAGAAGATCAATCAATCAATATTACAAAAATGTGTTAAAAGTTTGAGACAACAAGTCCCAGTCTAGTTTCTCCAAAGTGTATCAAATAAGAACCAATTATACACACACACACATATATATATATATATATATATATATATATACAGTGGGGCAAAAAAGTATTTAGTCAGCCGTACCCACTGTATATGTATACACACACACACACACACACACACACACATTTATACATAGTTGTTTGTTTACCGCTGATGTGAATGAAACAGGAACAGCATTTGCAACACTTTGCAAGTCTTCCTGCAACACAAGAAATTAATAAATAATAAACGCGCTTCAAATTCATATTCTTTACTTAAATAACAGATATGATTGAATGTTCCTTTAAGATTTTACTTACCCACAGGTCTGCCATTTTTGATTAATTCTAGTGTGATAAACAATTCATATATTTACAGTTCAGAATCCATAAGGTACATTATTTTTCATATTCATTTTATTTTTATGTAAACAAAAAGGCAAACAGATTTCAAAGACTCAGCGATAGCCTAACAGAAAAATAAGCTTTGAAAAAAAAGCTTTTTCGTGACTCCTGATTGACTGCAGCAGTCACATAACCGCCTTCTCAATTTCTAATATCTGCTTCGATTCTATATCAAAAGCAGATGCGAAGTTAATCAAACGAACTCGGCTTTGAAAGTGTTACCTACGTTTATATATAGGCTATATAGCCTATATTACATTGTTGTTCAGTTTGCACTTACCTTTGCGATATAAATCAACACTGAACGTGTCTCCCTGTCCGGTTTAACTTCTCCTCACCTGCTTCCTCGGGGCGTTTGCGACACGATGTGCCATTTTCACAAAAGACAAGCATTCTTACGGAGCCTCTCCCTTCATGAACATGCAACGCGCTGCTATAATATACCATTTGATTCAGCAGGAAAAAGACACTTTATTTTCTTAATGATCATTTAACCCCTGTCAAGGCGATATATCAGCTTTTATTATTATTCAACTATTTTTATGGATTTTAATTATTATAAACAACATTCTTCTTAACTCACATATTTCACACCAAAACATATAACTACAAACATATACACACCCCTAAAAGGGAGGGTTTAATTATTATCAATTATGATATAGTAGCCGGGTCATTAGCATGCGGTGCCATTTGAGTCCCCATGATATAATGTGGTATATTTTCTGTAAAAATGGGCTAATACTTGTTTCTAAATGCTCATCTTACAATGTTACTGCCCCTCTACCATAGAACACAATAAATATGTACCCAAAATTAATTCATTAAAAAATAATTACTCATATCTTAGTGCAAGTAAGCTAAACTGCCATGTCCCCAAGTAAGCTTGCATAACTTCAGCCACAAATATAAATAATACAACTCAAACAAATTCCAAAATTTTCAATATTGTTGTATATTCTTATTTATAATATTCCTCAACAAAATATATTTTTTTGTTATTTATACATTTTTAATACTTAAAGTCTTTAAAACATGTTGTGTCCCTGAATTGAATGCCCCCGTTACTCTGATGAAAAGTCCCTCTGTACGGCCCTTGAATGTTTCTCTAATAACATGACTCTCAGGAAGTATAATACTTTTTGGAGGCAAACTATCTACAAGAAGCAGAGTAATTAATACTCCTTAATTCGTCCCTTTATTTAGTGTTTTAGAATGATTCACTGATGTGGTAAAGTATAATACGTCCACCCTGTTATGCTTATTTATAGAAGAAACTGGTCATTTTTGAAAATATGGTTAATAAACATGTTAAAAATCTTCCTCAATGATCACTACGCACTATCTTGTTGTTCATCACATGAATAGCAATGGCTGACTTTAGCAAAAAAAATTCCCTCCTGTTACTGCCCACTCTGTTAGTTTTGCACTGTAACAGGCTGGACATATTGTAACAGTCGATGTAAACATAAAGTGTTTACAGCATGTATTGGTACTTATAATTATTTTACTATGCATTTAAAAGAAAGAGTTGTTTAAATGGTATGCATGTATTTGTCAGGAAATGGCACTGTTGTCTGCTGCAGAAAAGCAGCGACGCTACAGGGCTCATCGTGATGCAGACCCTGAAAGAAGGCAGATATACCTCAAAAAGAAGGACAGGTGGAGAAAGGGAATAAAGGAAGAAAGAAAAAAGAGTGTTAGAACTCAGCTTTGTTGATTAGGTAGAAACTGTAATAAAATTATCTTGATTTTGCCATTGTATTATGTGTGTGTGTGTGTGTGTGTGTGTCTGTCTGCGTGGTGTGTGTACTGGTATTCCCTATGTTATGGGGTCCAAATGTCCCCACAAATATAGTGATACCAGCCAATTTTGACCTTGGTCCCTATGAGGGAAAAAAACTTATAAGTCATACAGAATGAAATGTTTTGAAAATCTAAAATAACTGTAGTTTTGTGTGAGGGGGAGGTTTAGGTGTAGGGTTAGGGTAAAATACAGGTAGGATACAGTATAGAAAATACAGTTTGTACAGAAGAAAAACAATTATGCCTATGGCATGCCATGAACCCATAACGATAGGAATACCAGTTTGTGTCTGTGTGTGTTTGAGAGTGAGAGAGAGAGAGAGAGCAAAATAATGTTCTCTAAAAAATAATAATGCTCTCTATAATTTTAAATTGTAAAATACAATGCTAAACATATTTTGTGGCCTAATAAAGGGATAGTATAACAAACAAGATCTTATTATAATAGGTATAAGAACAGCTTACTTTAATGTGGTGTAATTGGCCTTATATCTGTAGCGAATTTAGCTCACAACAGGAAATATGAATAATTAACCATAACTAGTTATAATTAACTATTCATATTTTAGATCCGCTGTAGATATTTAGCTGACCACTCAGGGTCAACCGTCTTGTCAATTCTAAGAACGTTAATTTCCTGGTTAAGGGAAATAACTTTCTTACTGTACAATTCTACAAAATATTGTAACGTAAATCTGCATGATTAGTGACTCCGGTTATGAGCAAACAATGAACACGTCAAGCGTGATACAAGTAAGGTTTTATTAACTACATAAACACTTAAACTAGTCTAACATACTACATAAACACATAAACTGGTCTAACATACACATACACACACACACACACACATACAGTTGGTATAGGAAAGGGTTAAAATTTAACTCTTTACAGAAAGAGACATAAGGAATGACATTTATGGAACCATTTGCATATTCAACAGATCTAAGCCTTCAAGGATACGTCAGATTCTGAGTTCAAACACACCTTTGTAAAAAGGTGTAACTGATACTTAATGTATCAATTAATAAGACTAAGTTTGATACTTGCGAGTCTCGGCGGTCTGAAAGAGATTCCTGATGCAAATCTTAAGGTCCAAGATCTTGCTGAAATTAGTTGATGAAAAGAACCAGTTTGAGTCAGAGAATTTTTGGTGAATGGAAAAGTCAAGGCCGAAAGGTCTGGCACTGAGACTTGATATCCTGAAACGCCTCCTCACATCTTCATCTTAGCATCGACCGAACCACCGACTGGGGCGGGTCACATGAAGTGTGGCCTTTAAAGCCTGCAGAGATTCACGCCTCTCAAGATGAGTTCGTCCAATGAGGAAGGCTGAAATCCCAAGCGGGAGGTTGGAAATACTGGGGAGTTTTATGACTCTTTGTCTGTAAGCATGGTATTTTGCATATGTAATTCGCTTGGGTGTGAATGCACAAATTAGTAAAGATTCTTAGAACATCAATATGTTGCATAGGTATCAGCATATATTTGGTTCTTTTAATTGTGATGATTTTGACTCAAATTTAACAAAAATCCACCAATTCACTATCTCAACTTAGAATACTTCATAAGACCAATAAAAAAACATTTTTTTAGTGAATTGTTGGCCTTCTGGAAAGTATGTTCATTTACTGTACATGTACTCAATACTTGGTAGGGGCTCCTTTTGAAACAAGTGATTTACCGCTGCTGTGGAAGAAGAGGGGGCACGAGCAAAATTCTCCAAGTCATCCTGCAATACAAGATATTAAATCTCTGCAAATTTGGTTTCAACAAAATTCTTCATTCTTCACTTTCAGGGAGTGCAGTCGTTTGCAAAATTTTACTAACCCACAAGTCTGACATTTTTGATTGGGAGAATTCTATAAACAAACACATTCACAGTTCAGATTCGATTCAGTTCATCAGTTACTAATAATGCATGATCTTTGTGGTTACACGGTCATGCAAAACTCAGGCAGGAGAATCTATTTCATTCACATTTACTTTTCTTGCCTTCACTTTTATTTTAAAAAAAAAGGTCAATGACTTCCCTCCAAAACAGTTTTAAAAATACTCAACAAACAAGTTTAGACAAAGGCTGTATAGTATTATCTCCTAACTGCAGCATCAGTTTAAAGCATTTCTGCTTTTAAAATATGCTGGCCATCAAGTGGATAGCCAATGCTTAAGTTATGTTAATTAAACAAACATTTATAATTAGTACTACCTACGGGTTTTGTATGCTTTTAAGTCTTCGCTCTTACCTTCGCGATACAAAAATATAGACGGCCCTCTGTCCGGTGTTCTGTCGATTTGTGCTACCCTGTCAGATTTTGCTACCTCCCATGAAAACAATGGGTAGTACAATTCGACAACGAAAAATGCTACCTGTAAAATTATGGTTTATTAATGTCTACACCTACCGCAACCCTTAACCTACTCTTACAGTAATTGAGTGTTATATTCGCAGTTGTAGCTAGAAGGGATACAGCTACAGGAAACCAACAATAAATTATTTTTTCTACCTATTATATTGTGTTTTATTAAAGTCTACACCTACCCAAACCCTAAACATACCCTTACAGAAATGCAGATACATTAAATATTGTTCAGCATGAGAAAAAGATGTGCGCATGCGCAGTAAACCCCGGTAGGACAATCTGACGGGTAGGATAAAATGTCAGGACACCTGTTTAACTTCTCCTCACCTGCTTTTCAGGGCGTGAGAGACATGATGCCACGATCTCAAAAGGAATGCATTCTTACTGAGCCTCTCCCTTCTTGAATAACGAGCTGCTATTCACTTTCTACACAATTAAAAAGTAAAATGGACATTTATTTAGTTATTCCAAAACAATTTCATTAGCATTATAAGTAGGCTACTATTACTGTAACACATATAACAATCATCTGAGGTGAAGTTGTCTCACAGGATAAATCTGTTTATTGCACATAAACTATATATACCTAAACTCAAAGTCTCCTAAAACTGAAGTTGGTGATAGATTAAATAAACACATTCAATTTGAGAAAGTGTGCCACACATTCGTAATAGGTTTATTAATTTTATTGCTAAAAAGGCACAAGTACAGGCATCATGTTATTTTACCATAAATGATAGCACCAAAAACTTATATCTCCAAAATGTTTCTGTTTGATAGGCACTCACTTAGACACATATTAATGGACAAAATTGAATAAAACTCCAAATACACACAGAGAGAGAGAGAGAGAGAGAGAGAGAGAGAGAGAGATGATCATAAAGTCATAATTGTAGCATTTCCCACACTACACCCAGTGCTTTAAAGATTCTGGATATTCTTGATCAAATCAGCACATGTGACAAGTGATTACTTAATACAGCAATACAGAACTACACAAACAATACAAACTATAGATGTGCCTTACTTAATACATGATGTGACATTAATACAAGACTAAATAATGCAGGATAGCATGAGGTGGATAATCTTTAAAAAAATCCATGTGAAGATTTTTGGTAGTGTTTGGTTATATCAGTACAGACAGCAGTCATATAAAACAAAAATATGTTTTTTTTTACCCAGTGTTGTAAAATAATAAAGGCTACAGCATTTCAATGGAGTCAGCAGACTGACAAATCAATAGTGGTTATCAAATCTATGATCTATTTTCATACAATTCATCAAAACACTTGGTTTCTCGTTGACATGTACCAAAGGTTTACATAAACTAACAAACGCATTACTTTGGGCAGTCTATTCGGATTTGGAATTAAATAAATCGCACTTGACAAATATCAGCATGGCACACCGGTGATCAGGCCAAAAGTACAGTAAATTAGACAATGAGGCAGAGCATCAAAAGCCAAATCAAAATACAGGGACGACCATGTCATCCGATAATTGCACTTAATAAATGTATTTACATCACTCGCCCGGTCCAAAGTGTTGGCACTTATCCTTCCTTTAATACTTTCATGTGTTTTTACTGACATGACAAAATAGCAGGTGCAGTGATACAAACTCTCCATTCGTTTAAACAAAGTGGCTGAGCTACCACTGAGCCGTTGTATGATTACACAGAGCAATGATTTAAAACTGAGATTGGAAACGTAAGATCTGATGACACCATTATGTGTTGTTCATTAATGTTTGAGGTAGCTCAGTTGTGAAATGATTTACACTGCATAGCTGGCAAGAATACTTTCCCTTTTATCCTCATGGTCATACAAAAATACATTAACATCATGTCATTACAAATATGTATAGAAAATGTTTCTTCTTCTCATTAAATACTCAGACTTCAGTGCCGTCATTCAGGTTGTTGTGCAGTTTGACCTCCAGATTGACCTGTTTGACCTTGACCCCACTGACCTTGTAGGTCTCTGGGTTCTTGTTGAAGACGTTGACGTTTCTTACAGAGCAGTGCTTGCTGTTGAGGTTTTTCTCCAGACGTTCTATACAGACCTCCACCTTTGTATTCAGAGGATAATCCTCCACTGCCTTCACAGGCCTCTTTTTTACAACCCTGCGGCACTTTCTGACCATGAGGCAGACGGCTAGAAGGACCAGGAAAAGTAGGACGATGGCTGCCATGCCACCCCCGATGGATCCTCCCATCTGGGGATTGAAGGTGCCCGATGGTTCCACCTCAAGCTTCAAGGTCTTCATATTGGTGCCATTCTTGACCTGGTCACCTTCATTGTCGTAGATCAGAGATTCATCCAGCATTAGACGACCTGAACGGTCCACCAGATCTCGGCGACTTCGTTTGAGCTCATAGGTCACTGAGCGCTGGATTCTGGGAGCAGATATGGACTCGGGTCCAATAACGTAGATGACCTGGAGGTACCACTGGTGCCCTGCCTCAACCTAAAGAAGAGCAAATGCAAATAAGATTCTAACCCCAGCAAAATAACCCCTTTAAATACAGTACATTATATCCCCTTTATAATCTTGTCCTTTAGCCCAGTTCCCTATAGTCATGGCACACTGTCAGTCTGGCATCTTTTACTAAACAAACAGATCAAGGCACTTCCCCGAAGGGTACAACTGAACAGCTCTGGCTTTGACATTTGTGTCAAAGAGAAGGTCTGTTTAAAGGGGTCATATGATGCTTTTTTAAAGATAATTTTTTTGTGTATTTGGTGTAACAGAATATGTTGACATGATTTAATGTTCAAAAAACACATTATTTTTCAAACTTGACTTTTTGGTGAATCTTGCAGCCACTGACCTTATAAAGGGCATCCACCTTTATTGTGAAACCGTCTACACCTGGCATCGCAGACAAGGACTGGAGATCAGGAATGTCAGATGCAAACTTGGCTTCAAATGGAACATCATGGAAGTAGCGATCGCAGACGTCAGGCTGCTTCCGGTCCTATGTGATACATTATTTACAATTACTACACAGCTCTCAGGAATACTTAATCCTGTGATCTATTATTTGTACTGAAATTGAGCTGAAAATTACCCTCAGAGGACTCCAGAGTTACTATTATTGCAATACTGATGGCGTGTTTGTCTTGATCAACGCTCTCTCTTAGAGGAGGCTTTAAGATAATATACTTCACCGTTCAAAATAGTGGGGTAAATACAATTTTTTAGTCAACCAAGGTGCATGAAATTTATCAAAAGGCTTCTTGAGCATTAGAGACATCTTTCAAATATATATATATATATATCATATAAACCCCAAACCTTATATTTGAAATTCTTTTGTGAAAATGGACGAATGTACATGACCTCTTACTTAATTATTAACTGTTGCTATAATTTTTCTTGTCTTTTCATTTTCATTGCATTTTTAAAATTCTCTGCTGTCAAATCATCATTGCGGTCAGTCTCAATATTAGTTCCAAGATACACAAAAACAGCTTGAAATTCAAAGTACTCCTTGACAATTTACATCCACAGAAGTGTATGAGTTAAAACTTAACCACACCAAATGAATCTTGTTTAGACTGGTTAAACTGGTCTGGACTAGGGCTGTAGTACTCGAGTCCAGACTCGAGACATTTTTCTATCGTCTCGGACTCGTTGGTGTTTGCACTCGGACTTGGTCATTGGACTCGCCAAATGTTCTCGTTGGTCTCGACCGAGTCCAGCAATATGCTTTTTTTTCTCCTTCAAAACAAAACCACATTTTTGAAAACGCGTGGAAAACGCTAGGCGCGCCGCTTTCTCCTTCTTTCCAAAGCCCTCTGTAGCCTGCGCTCTATGCTTGCGCTCCCGTGGCGTCTGCCGTTGCTAAGCAACTATGACCTGCGCTCTCCATGAAGACGCGGGAGTTTCAGCAAAGGATAAATGGATTTGCAGCACTAAAAATCCCTTGCAGTAGCCCTGCTACTAAATTTATTTGAAAAAATGGCTATCTTTGTACAGCTATGAACAGCTGTTTCTCCGTCTTGGCTTAGCTTTCAATTTTGTTACGTGAAAGGATGAAGCTGATTGGTTGATTCTTGTCACATGACCCACGGTGCACTTGCTGTGTTTTGAAATATTTAGTTTTATTTGTTGGCCCTAATAAGCAGAGTTAATCATTCATTTATTTATCACAAGTAATCATCATTGCAAAAAAAAAATAAAAAACTCCACTGTTATCACACATAGCAGAATTTCCTCATATCATGCAGGACTATTAGAAAGGCAAAATCAATGCAAATCAGTGGATATGTCTGCTATAATAGGATAGGTGTGTTAAGGCCAGTTGGAGCTAAACTTTGCAGGGCATTGGCCCTCCAGGATCTAGTTAGGAGACCCCAGTCCTACAGAGTTGTTACTTTGCACATGCTTTTTGATCATTACAAATAATAATGTAAAATTATTTTCTTAGAATAGGAGATATGCTGTCTCTTGCATCACATACATTATCAATAGTTAAGTATGTGGTCTTGAAGAGGATCCTTTTTTTCCCTCTCATTTGGACTCGATCTTGACTTGGACTCAAAACTTTTGGACTTGGACTTGACTTGGACTCAAACCTCTTTGGACTCGGTCTTGACTCGGTCTCGACTAGTCCTGGTCTTGGACTTGTCTCGACAAAGCTGGACTTGACTACAGCTCTAGTCTGGACTTGTTACAATAGACACCTACCAGAAGCAGGAACCTGTGTTTGAGGTGCTTGTTCGGTTGAATGCAGCCATACTGAGGGCCTTCGTTGTACAGAGTGCCTGTGGGGTCGAAGAAGGGCACATAGCCATCCCGTCCTGTACACAAATAGACTTTTTCTAGCTGCAACTTATAGGCCGAATTCAAGTTCTGGTCAGGATTCCACAGCACTCTGCCATACAGCGTTTGACCTGCATAATATCAAACAATGAATGAGTGAAAGCATAATAGTGGTGATTATTATTATTTTTCATTACTTTGCTAATTTTACCCATCGAAAAGGCTCCTTTATAGTCCATCTCAGCAACAGACATGTCTGCGAGAGCAGGATCCATTAGAAAGACTTTCTCATTATTGCAAAGCTGAAACTCAGTATTCAGAGAGTAGACTACAGGAACAGGGCGGTTCGTCTGCTGGAAGGTGATGGGCAGCAGGAATCTATGGATCGAAACAGTGTTAAAAGCCCTTGCGTGTTATTGAATATTCTTGTTGACTCACACAAACAGTCTGCACCTGATGAAACCTGTAAAACGAGTCTACTAAAAGTGGATGACAACTGCAGTATCATTCAAGCTTGCTGGCTCTGCTCAGCAAAAACGTTTCCAACGCAAAAAGTCATTTAAGAGTCCTCCAGGAGTTATCAATGGAAAAGCACCATGGTAACATACTTCTCTGGAGCATGGGCCGTGCAGGAAAGAGGCTTATCCCCAGAGTCGACCCATGCCTGGGTTGGCTGTACCGTGCAGGGGATGAGAAAGACTGTGTACTCCCCAGAGTAGTCTTTCCTAGAGCACAACAGAAAGCACACGGTCAATGGTATTAAGATGGATACGCTTCCTTAATGTGACAGCATTAGGCTTCACGCTGTTTACCTGCTGTAGGAGCTTGTGGCTCTCCAGAGCTGGTAGGGTGAATCAAAGGACTGTGCGCTCCACATCAGCTGCAGGTCAAATTCGATGCCTCCCAGGTGATCTGGAGCCATCAGATGAGATTTCTGTCCAGGGAGGGTGTGATGTTCAGGGACAAACTGACCTAGAGCGAGAAGCAAGTTTCATCAGTCACTCATAATTCAGGATGTCAAAAAAGTATTTGGACACTTATGCCACACTTCAGAATGCCTCATGGATTCTAATGCAGAAACGCTGAGACTTTAAGTTAGTATTTCAATAATTTAATGACATACTGTATTTGCATGTTCACGGTTTTACGATTGTTATTATTATTAATAGTTTTAACTCTAATTATAAAAAATAAAGACAGAAATATATTACTGTTGTGAATTACAATTGTATAACAATAATAATCATAATTATTATTTAATAAATCTTGTCTTAAATTCTTCCATTTCAAATGTCCAAACCCTCAAACTTTTAGCATTTAAATGATCTAAATGATTTTTTTTTTGTTGGAATACTGGTTAAATGCTGTAAACATCTGTCCATAAGAGCATTGGAAATTATGCAAGTGTATAAATAAAGTAAACTTAGAATCTGAAAACACTGGCTCATGAGTTGCTCATGTGTAAACGAACACAATGCCACTCTTTACTCTGAAACACATGATGCAACAGATTATATACTTTTTAATTAAATCTCAGCCTTTGATTTACTGTTATTTACCTTTTTGATTCACACTAAGCTATTATGCAATTATATTTATTTATTTGAATTAATTGTGCAGATTCATTTATCTGTTTATTTCAGTTTAACATTTGATTGAATTAATTATTAACTTTTCATCAACTCACAAACCCCTGAAGTTCCTTCATGAACCCTGGTTTGGGAAATCCTGTTCTAATGGAATGACATTCATTCATTTTTAATGGTAAATAGTGTCTAAATACAATTTTAAATGTCTCCAGGTAAAAACATCACGTTATGTTCATAAACAAAAAGGAAATGAGAACAAATTGCTAAAAAGAGAAGTTACAGACCTCTAAACTTGGCGTGGGTTTTGAACTCAATCACCAGTCGTCCATCATCCCTAATGAAGATCCGAATGATCTGTAATCTAGCTGACAGCACGCTGTCTGTCTGGATGCCTAGAGTAAAGAAATGTTCATAAGCAATCAGTTAACATCAGCTGCGACACAGCTAGGTGATGACAGCAGGTTATACAACAGATTGTGCTCGAGTATGTCGAGTTTCTTTGGGGCTGGCGATGAAACTAAATGTACCTGTTCTCCACAAGACTGTGTCGTAGAAGAAAGAAAACTCCATCTCTGTGTGGTGCTCCAGGGAGGCCCATCCACGAGGAGCCGTCACATAGATGTAGGACACATAGAGCGGTACCTGCACCGTCAGGAACGACTGAGCCGAGTCTCTGACCTGCAAAAATGCACCCCAATTTCTGCCACATCAGATTCTGTCTAGACATGAATATTTATACATCATTTGTGCTGGGATGCAAATCATGTGTGCACACGAACCTGAAAGTCAGCAGTTACTGATCCTCCACATACATCAATAAGCTCCGTCATGTCATAATACGCATCAAATGTCCATATGCAGCTTTTCAGATTGAGATGCTTGTATAGCTGGATAGTTCTAGGTTCTCGAACACTGGGGTTGAATTGGTATGGACGGTCATATCCGGGACCCAGGGATATGCTGTCATACAACACATCATCCAAGAAGCCGGTTTCTGGGGGAGAATTGACAACATATTTTCCCAGTTGAAACATATGATTACTAATTGTTCTAAAATTAGTTGTTCATTTTTCTGTAAAGATTATTGGAGGCAATTTCGCCAACTAAGTCATGTAGAATATCCACCTTATTTTTGAATGCAGAAGTAAACTTTCCTGTGAACGCACAAGACTTCCAATTCATTAGCCAGTATAGCCGCTATAGATAAATAACTAGAAGAATAACAAAGTGCAAATTAAATAGTAAAACTAATTGTATTACAAACCAGTGTATTTATGGTTGCGATACTACATTAAAATAATATGATAAAACATTTTTTATATAAAGTGGCATAACGGACTGTTTCTGTACAGCTAAAACAACTGGAAGCAACTGACACCAAAAGACTTCAAGTCACATTCAAGTTGTTGACAAAAACAAGGTGGATAAAACAGGTTTGTATCCACTGTCCCTGCTTTGATCTCTCACCAGAGACGCCATGCAGATCTTTAAGTGTGACCAGGTTGGAGCAGACATGCTGCTGACGGTAAATAGACTCGGAGAGCAGGAAGTGTAGGTTATGCAGAGGCATGGTGGACACCAGTGGAAGCATTCCATCCTGATGAGGGATCTGCACTGAGATATGGATCCTGTTCCGAGAAAAAAGGTATTACTCACTTGATAAAATGCCGTTTTCTTCTTTGAATTGTCTAGTTTTATTTGTTGCTGTTCCTTTAAACGTATAAATTCATTTTGATCTTGCTTGGCCCAGAGGCAAAAATCATCTAGTGCTCTACAAAACTTACAGCTGCAGTTTCAGTCGAAAAATGTTTTTAAAACCTGTTTCTCAGAACTCCACTGGCATCTAAGTCTGTATTCAATCATTTACTTACAAAAAAGTCTCTTCTGACCTGTTTGGATGCTCTTTGTGTTTGACATCCAGGTATTTTAGAGTGGCAATAAAGGACTGGGCCTGAAAGCCTCGAGCGGTTCCTGTAGTGACGGGGGTGTGGCATATTGATCCCTCAGTGCCAATAGTGACTATGTTGCTCCTCAGTGGAGTTCCCAGGTGCCCGGCTTTATCTCTGGCCTGAGCTACGCAGCGCACATGGAAACGTCTGCTGAAATAGATACTGTCCAGGACCTGTGAAGAGAAAAATATTTATTTAACCACAGGAACCCAAGATAACAAGTGAAAATGCTTCTAGATTATATTGCATAGAAACATTTTAAATATGGCAAACCACATGGCTGATTGCACTATTGGAAATTTTAGTTAACAGCTAGATTAAAAACACTGTTCGGAAATATTCAATTTAGTACCAGATTTAATATCAGACTGACCATGTGATTGACTGTGGTGTAAGGTGTGTTATCTGTCACTGTCTCAAAGGGTGATCGTGCTCCGCTGGTGTCTGTGGGAGTTGCAACCTCCCAGCTGAAGTGGACGGAGGTCTGGTTGATGCCTGCTTCCTCACAGCGCTCTCTCATGACTGAGTATTTGGGGTAATGGGGGTCGCAGGGAGTCACACAGACCAGAGGATATCCAGGAGATGGAGATTTCTTACTGCCCTCTTTAGTGACCTCCTGGACATAGTCATAGTCTGACAGAGACACCACCTGTGAGGAGAACATGAAACCAAACTTCAAGAGCATAATTCAGTCAAAAGAGATTTGTGAGATCTTACAACTCTCACTGAATCTAATATTCTAATCTATAATATAGAAAAATAACTTTTGACATTTATAACTGATTATAAAAAATGTTCAATGATAGTAGAATACTATACTGATTTCTACAGGGACATTTGTCAAATCTATGCAATGATTTCATTTGTTTGTCACAATAACGTAGGCTAATGTCTTAAATGATCTACATTTCAGGACTTTTCTCAGGAAAGCGATATGGGAAAAAATAACATTACCATTCAAAAGTTTTGGGGTCAATACCATTTTTTGACTCTGAAAATTCAGCTTTGCCATCACAGGAATAAATTACACTTTATAATAAATGAAAATATTATATGTTTTACTTTTAATATGGTATTGTATGCGATTTGATTAATATGATGCAATTTTTTTTAACTGACAAGTAGATTTTGATTTACTAAATGTCAGCCCTACAAGCATCTACTGTCTGTCTCTTACAATGGGTGGTGCTGGAAGGATGAGACTTCCTGCAGCTTCTTGATCTAAGATGGTGACTGTGGCCATGGTGATCTCTCCAAGCACGGCTTCAACAGGGTCGTCTGGACCAAGAACCAACGAGAAAGATTCATGCCACTCTCTGTCCTCATTGGACAGGATCTCTACCTTAAAGAGGATGTGGTCCACACCTGAGGAAATCATTACAACAGAATTATCAGATTAGAATGAAGGCGTAGTCTTACAATTGAAAAAAGAAAGAAAAATAAATAAATATACTTACCAGGGCTGAACTTAAGGACTCGACTCTTGGGGTTATAGTCTACACCTGACTGGGCTGATCCATCCCTTGTGCTGCATCTGATCTTGGAGGTACGGTCAAGGTCTCCTTTACGGATTACCTTGATATTCAAAACCTCAATTCCATCTGGACCAGGGGGCTCACGAACTTGGAAAGAGGCTTGTTCAAATTCAATCGTAGGAGCTAAAAAGCATGATGTGCACATTTTTACATTTACGCACTTGGCAGATACTTTTATGCAAAGCAACTCAGTGCATTCAGGCAATACATTTTACAAATAAATGCATACCCTTTGAATTGAACCAATGGATTCATGTTCCAAGAGCATTCTTTGAAAATTTGAATTTGTTTAAACCTTTTATGTTTAAGATTGTGTGTTAAGCAACAAGCTAACTACTCACCATCTTCATCATTTGTGATGGTCACAGTCACAATGTCCTTGACTCCAATCATGGCTCCAATCCAGTGGTCACCCTGTGGGCTTCCAAGGTGGACCTGGAACTCCTCTTCTGGCTCAAACACAGAGTCATCTTGGATCAATATGGTACAATTCTTCACCTGCCGATCAGAAACAAGAGGCTTTGGCATTCTTTGTCTGGTATTGTGCGAAAACTTCCATACAGAGGCCATATGAAAACAATACCATATCATAAAATGACTCTGTTCCACTCTGCTGACATAAATTCACAGAAGTTTGGTTAAGTGATTAAAAATTAATCATGGACAAAAAGAAACCATACCTTTTCTCCTTTTTGGAAAGTAATCCTGGAATCATCTGCATTTCTCCTCTCTTCAAAATCATCCATCACCATAGCAGACATTGTGCGTGTGAAACAACGGACGGAAGACTTATAGGACAGATCTCCCGTCCTAAAAATGGGGATGTGCAGAACACCATCTTTTTCCTTCACCGTATATGCCAGCTTGTCAAACTGCATGCTAGGTACTGTAAGAAGAAAGCACTGACTCCATAAATATGTTTATAGAGTATAATGTTAATGGATGTTAATTCACAGACTGTAATGGTCAAGTAAACACACTGTCTTGGGTGGTGTCAGTGATGTAGACAGAGGCTTCATATGGTTCAGTCAGGACCGCTCCATTGGGAGAACTAAGAAACACGATGAAGGACTCTTTCCCTTCGATTGTAGGGTTCTGAATGTCATCCATTATGGTCAAACTACATGTCTAGAAGAAAGTAAACATGAGGTCTGTAAACACCAGTCGTCTTACAGATGTCATAACACATAAGAACAGTCTAGTTTGATTACCTCTTCGGTCTTGCCTGGTCTAAACTCCACCTTTTTGGAACTTGGGATGTAGTCAACGCCGGGCGTAGCAGAATCTTGTTCAGCAGGACGTGTGGCACACCACACAGAGGTTACTGAGGAAAGGTCACTGCCCTGCCGCAAAACAGGGATTTCAATGGTGCCTGTAGGAAAATACCTCAGACTATCAATACTGTGTAAGTATTGGAAAAATTGAAAACCATACAAACACATACATACAAAAATTTGGGGTTAGTAATATTCTTTTTTGAAATAAATTTATATTTTTATTGAGCAAGGATGCATTAAATTGATCAAATTTGACAGTAAATACACTTCTAATGTTACAAAAGATTTCTATACCAAATAAATGCTGTTTTGAACTTTTTATGCATCAAACAATCCTGAAAAAAATGTATCACTGTTTCTCACAAAAATATATTCTTGTGGAAATATTAATATGCCTGCAAAAATATGAAGCAACACAACTGTTTGAATTGTATTTTTGTTTTTGAATTGTTCTTATTTCACTCCATCCTTATAATAATAAAAAATAATTAGTAAAATCCCCACCATTCAACTTGTTAATGAAATTGTTTAAAAGATTTTTGGAATGTCAAAATTACCCTTCTTTATATTTCAATCTCCAAACTAATAAATCAACCACCATGTTTTAAAACAAAACTGACACTGATGATACTACCTTTAGAAACCAAACTGCACCAACCTGCATCTTCACTGAAGGTGAAGGACGCGTTGCCCAGGAAGACAATGGAGGCATCATTTGGCCCATCTATGATGACTTTAGCCACGGTGACATCACCCATCCGTGCATTGTCTGAGGCGTCCGACAGCACCAGCTCAAACTCCTCAGAGAGTTCATACTCGCTGTCATCAATCAGCTTTACGTCACAGGTAGACATGCTCACACCTGGGCCAAAGATGACTCTGTTGTCACTGCTCATGCCACGGGTCTTATAGTCAGAGCCGGACTCGAGAGCATGCAGACTGCTGCCCCGGGCTGACTTAGACACACTGTAGCAGAGGGCTGAGACTGTGCTGCTGGTGTCCCCTAATTAAAACACAAGAGATAACCCATGACGATGAAGATAATCAGTTAAAAAAGAATGCTAATTTGTAGTCCTATCATCAATACACTATTTTTTACAGTAGTGTTTACATATGAACTTTTATTGATTTTATCTTCACAGCTTCTCAGAATAAAGCAAGTTTTTATGGATTAACCATGTAAGGAGCAATTTAGTTGAGCCATTTGTACAGGGATAGTTCACCCAAAAATGAAAATTCTGTCATTCCAAACCCGTAATACCTTATCTTCAGAACACAAGTTAAGATATTTATATTGAAATCTGAGAGCTTTCTGATCCTGCATAGACAGCAATGCAACTGACATGTTCAAAGCCCAGAAAGGAAAGGACATTGTTAAAATAGTCCATGTGACATCAGTGGTTCAACCGTTATTCAACAATTTCTTCTCTTCCATGTCAGTCTTTGACACGCGTTCACAAGAGTACCACAACGCATATGTGAAGACTGACACGGAAGAGAAGAAATTGTTAAATAAAGTCGCTATTTTTATTTCTTATGGTTGAACCACTGATGTCACATGGACTATTTTAATGATGTTCTTACTACCTTTCTGGCCTTGAACGTGGTAGTTGCGTTGCTGTCTAAGGAGGGTCAGAAAGCTCTCGGATTTCATCAAAAATATCTTTATTTGTGTTCCGAAGAGACTTACAGGTTTGGAACGACATGAGAGTGAGTAATTATTGACAGAATGTTTTATTTTTGGGTGAACTATCTCTTTAAAGGAATGTTCCAGCTTAAATATAAAAAAAAAGCAATTTTACAATTCTGGTCAATAAAATGATAACTATATTCATATTATGCCCGTTGACTCGACAAATTGCTGATATTATTGAAAATAGGATTTACAACATATGCATATATATGGACATCAATAAAATTATTTTTATCAAATTTTTTTTTTGTAGAAATTGGTTCCACTGACCCTTTCTCTCAACAGGAGCAAAGATAAAGCCTGTGCTTTCATTGATGTGGTAAGTCTTCTTATCAAACTGCAGGGTGGGTTCATCCTCCGTGTCATTGATATTGACTTTAGCGCGGGTCACTGACCCCAGCAGGGCATACACTGGCATACTCAGTTCCACATTAAAGCTCTCAATGTTCTCAAAGACCTGATCATCGTTGATCACAATGGTGCACACCTTGGTGTCTTCTCTCTCATCAAACTGAACCTGTTGAACCACATTAAATAGCATTTGAATGTAGTTGACAATCTATCAATTCATAGAGAATTTGAATATTTTAGAGAATAACACTTTGAAATAATATAGAATACATTAAAACGTACTTGTCCAGCATACTCAACATAGTCCTGTTGTCCGGCCCGAGAGCCCATGCTGGAAGTGGAGGTGGCCGTGCCTTGCTCAGTACGACACAGCACAATAGCATACTGGTTCAGATTGCCAGTCCTCTTCACTGTGACCGCCACGGTTCCATCTTTTTCACTCACATTGTAGCTGCAGACAGAAGACACACATTAATGAAAATGAGTTTCATTAATTTGTAATATTAACAGGTTGATTGGATGAAGACTCAAACTAAATTTGAGGCAGCCACACCTCTTGTGCTCAAAGCTGATAAGAGACCACTGGATGTGGAACACATTGTCAGTGACGATGTTGGGTTTGCTGTCCTTCACAAGGAACCTGAAGTTGTCCATGGTCTCCTGAACATTGTCCTCACTCAGAACGTATCGGATAAGGCCCAGGTTTATGTCAGCTGCAAGACAGAAAAAATTAACATTACATACACCATATGTTCTAGAAGAATTTGATGCAGGCGTATTTAGTAGGTAACACCATGTGCACACTACAAGACTGAAGCTTGATATCCTGCACACATTTAGAGCCACTGTTTTTAGTTTTTGTACAAAACAAATCACAGACTATGTGCGACAAGATCATTCTCCTCCTCTACTGTGGTTATTATCCCAAAAAATTCATACTAATTTTTCATACTAATTCGATGCCAGAGTTGATTCTTAAAAATAGATCATGAACAATATGGAGGAAGGTTTGTGGTTGTTTTTGCACAGGACAGGAAAACCAAACAAAAAGACAGTGGGTGACGTGGGCAGCAGTTTGATGTTTGTTTGGCTCTTAGTGGACCTTAGTCAGAGAATATCTAATTTGTTGTGGATTAAAAAAGCCTGTGTCTATCTGTTGACTATGCTTTAGGAGGTTTTGTTACAGAATAGCTTCAGCCTTGTAGTGTGCTCGTGGCTTTGGGAGGTGTCAGTAATACCTTGCGTGAAAGTGGTAATAGGTTTGCCAGGACTGAGTTTACTCTCCAGGAAGCCGTGTTTAGCTTCTGTAGTGATTTCATAAGTCAGCTGGCCATCATCTGTGTCCGGATCAATAGTGAGAAGGTCTTTCTTGGTGATCAGATTGGTGGCCTAGAATCCCATTTCACATCAAAATGCCATTCAGTACTTTGGTATGGAAGTGAATAAATTCATTCACTTTTGCACCAATGCAAAACAATGCCAGTAGGAGGCAGAAATGTACCACTGGGTGAATTCATTGAGCTCTTATGTGATTATAAATACAAAACAGTGACCTTATTTTCCATGTACTCCAGCCACTGTAGACCGAGGTTGGTGACAATACGAGGGGTCCCGTCGTCAACAGGTAAAATATCAATTTTAAACTTCTGTGGAGCGGCGGTGACAACCTGAAACAAAGGATATTATTTGACATTTACACAAAATGTAAACCCTCCTAGCTGATACAAACCCTGTTTCATGCATTTCCATAGTAGTAATTGCTTCTCATTTACCAACAATGCTCACTTTAATATCCATTCAATCCCAGATCAAACCTATTTAAATTCTGATATGGCTTTCTAAAGTGCTGAGTAATGGTGTTCTTTTCTTAGCCTTCCTGATTAAACACTGTCACAGGGCTGCTATTTTGTCATCTTATGACAAGACGAGGTGTCCCTTTTTCAACATCCACTGAGAGACCATTTACCTCCCAGAGCAGCTGACAGCCAGCTGACGCAGCTAGAAGAGGAAAAAGCGACTGCTGATGGATGGAGTTATTATGATGGAAGGAGAGAGAGTAAGAGCTGACATGTTGCCTAAATGACTATGTTAAACAAATGGACAGGATACCTGTAGGCAGTGTTGGGGGTAACGCATTACAAGTAACGCGAGTTACGTAATCAGATTACTTTTTCAAGTAACTAGTAAAGTAACGCATTACTTTTTAATTTACAAGAGAATATCTGAGTTACTTTTTCAAATAAGTAACGCAAGTTACTTTTGTTTACAATTTATTGATTGACAGCTCTGGTGTTGCCATGGTGACAGAAACCAGACGTTACTGTAGCTCTAAAATAAATATGAATATGCATTAATTCATCTCACTCACACACACAAAAAACAACAACACAGATTCAGTATTCCTCAAAATGAATACAAATAATGCAACTCAGAATATGACGCAAACCTGCAATAATTAAATGTTAAACAACACAAATATGCTTTATGTATTTAATCCCATTCTATTAACCAATGTCTTCGATGATCCAGTTCAACCGTACTAATAAGCACAAATTACGCTAGACAAACATTTGTGTGTCTTTTTTATTGCTGAAGTGTGTTGAAATATCTTCTTCTGCATTCTACTGTACTTTCCCTTCAGCCTGAGGCGTATTCATTTCACTTTTGGTGTGAAAAGTCTTTTATATTGGCCAAAAATATAACTTTTTTATTTTAAAAACAAACAAGCCAGCCCTGTCCAGATTTAAAAAGTAACGCAAAAATAACGTAACGCATTACTTTCCATAAAAAGTAACTAAGTAACGTAATTAGTTACTTTTTTAGGTACATTTGTAATGCATTACTTTTAAAAGTAACTTTCCCCAACACTGCCTGTAGGTGATTTATATTGTAATATATATTCATGTCTTTATAGATATAAAGTAATGAACAATATTCAAATGCAAAAACGTTTGTGTTCATACACTATCAGAAGAAGGGGTACAATTGACTAATGTTTACTAAAGTTTATTATGCTCACCAAGGTTATATGTATTATTTACTTGATTAAAATTACAGTAAAAACTGTAATATTGTGAAATATTACAATTTAAAATAACTGTTCCATTTTAACAAGCTTTAAAAATGGAATTAATAAAAGCCATCGCTCTAGTCTTTAGTGTCACATGGTCTAAAAAAAATCTAATTTGGTGCTCAAGAATCATTGCTTATTATTTTTAGCTTTTAAAAAAGGCTTAATATTTTTGTGGAAAACATGATACACTCACTGATTAATTAAAATTCCAAAAGAACAGCATTTTTAAAAAATAGAAATCTTTTGTTTCATTATAAATGTCTACTGCCACACTTGATCGATTTCATGTATCTCATTGATAAAATATGTCTTTAAAAAAATAAGATACTGATCTCATTTTTTGATTTTGAACAGTAGTGTATACTGTTGAGACCTTTCAATTGAAATTTCTTATTAAATGGTGTAAATTTACTACAGACTAACCTGTAGCAGTTTTTGGTTGCGAAATATATATTTTTTACATGTACAAATAATTTCCACAAGGAGATCACCCAGCAGCTCTCACTTAGAGGTTGTTTTTGAAAAAGCTGTTAGTGAAGCCAGCAGGGGATGCTGTGTGGGTCATAATGTCACAGTATAATGACGGGCCACTATGCTTTAAAAAGCCACTGTCCTTCAGATAACATGTTAATTTGAGGTCATGACGCTCAGTGGTCATTAAAAATTCCCAGGGTGTTTTTTGAAAAGAGTTGGGTATAACCCTGGCCAAAAGAGGAACATTTTCTCTCTGAATCAGCTCTATGAGTATTTCAATATATTTGGAGGACATTTTCAGAAATATGGCCTTCTACATACATTACTATTACTATAACACTGATGACAACTGGACACATGGAAAAACTCAAATAACACAGGAAGTTTACTGACCTCTTTTCCACCCTCTTCAATGATGAAGAACATGTTGGTACCATCACCGACAGTGAAGGTGAATCGGTCTTTGAGGGAGTTACTGCCATCATGGCTGTAACTGATGCGGTTCTGATAGATGTCGTCCATAGTGAAGGTGGTAGTCTGGCGGTAATGCTGACCATTACTTGTGCGCTCAATGGTCCCGTGTCGAGGAGCCTGAACGATAGTGAACGTAACAGAGTCCTCCTAACAGAGAATTTAAGGAAGAGAGATTGTCAAACAGGTCTGAAATTAAGTGAAATTGCCAGTAAGAAGTACATGAGCACTGACGTTCAATGTAGTGGATGTCAGTTGTGAGCACCAGAATATATAAGTCGAGCCGGGCGACAGTAATTTCCCTCTCGTTCAAAGTGTTCTGTAATCACTCTGGGTTTTCCATTTCAATCATGACAACTCTCTGAAGATTTTAGCATGGATATGGATATGACAATGTTAATGTATTTGGTCTTGGCGGAATAGATCTGCTACACTGCTGCTGAATTGCTGCTCTGTTGGTTATTGCTGTAGTTGTAGATTATTGCTGCTGCTGCTGCAAGCAAGTACAGGAACTTGCTACTGCCAATGCATATAGTGATATGGTGCCATGAGTATTTAAGACATGCTGCTGCTGCACAAATAGCATATAAAATAACCCATAGCAGATCTATACAGGTGGAGCTGGAGGGTTTCAGAGAAACTCTGAAAGCGCGCTGCAGGAATCTCTAGTGAATGCTAGCCAGGCAAATAAATGCAAGGCAGTAAGTTCATTGGCTGCATATGCAGCATGAACCAATCAGCTTGTGCCAAGTCGTTTAACTCTCTAAATATCATCAGTTTCATTAACAACCCATCAGCCTGCGCCATCTAGAGTTTCATGACTGAACTATATATTTATTCATCTCCTCACTCACATCTAGTCTACTTAAACTAGGGTTTGGGGTCATAGCAAGGATGCATTAAACTCAAGTGACAGTAAAAACATTTATAATGTTACAAAAGATTTCTATTTCAAAATAAATGATGCCCTTTTATTAACTTATTATTCATCCAAGAATCCTAAAAAAAATTTATCACAGTTTCCACAAAAATATTAAGCAGCACAACTGTTTCAACATTCATAATAATAAACAGTTTCTTGAGCAACAAAACAGCATAGAATGATTTCTGAAAGATCATGTGACAAAGCCTTGCCATTTTAAAATATATATAACAAATTTTTTTATTGTAATAATATTTCATAATGTAACAATTTTTACTGTACTTTTGATCAAATAATTGCAGCTTTGGAGAGCATACTGTAAGAAAAAAAATCGTACTAACGTACAACATTTAAATCCAAGCTTTGATGTAAATCCTTACGTTTGTTCGTTATAAATAAATAATAATACATGAAGCACAACCATGGCATAACTGACAGCACAGTTAGGGTAAGCCTATAAGCGATACCTCTGTGTCAGCATCAGTTGCCTTCAGCTCAAACTCAGTGATGGTCTTCCTCACCCCCTCCTGCACCCTCATCCCTGGTACCTGCAGGACGGGCAGAGAGTCGTCCACCGGCCGGATGGTGACGTAGAATGTCTGTGAAATCTGAAGGACAACAGCATAACAGTAATGAAATAATTAAATGCACACAGTGCTCAGTAATTGAATCCAGATATGAGCTCAATTGTTCTGCAGCACACAATCTAATTTCTCACTAAATAGGTTATCCTATCAGCGTTAAATGTAGAGAAACAGATAGACCATAAAGAAAAGTGGTTTTAAATCACTGAAGTGAATTAGAAAAGAAAAACATCCTCAGTTAAAGTGCGAAGAGAACATAGACAATTTGTACATTAAAGGTGTACTTAGCAATTAAAAAACTTTTAATCCTAAAGAAATGAAGACATTTTTGAAAAGCGTGATTAAATCACATGAGATGACTCCAGCCATATCAATAACAGCGGTTTTATTTGACACTGGAGTTGGGTCAATGAATTATAATCAATTTAGTTGTGTAACCACACTATTACAGGACACATCTGCTTATGGGATACATTAATCATGGCTAAGTTAAGCATTTCTACAATGGCATTGGTATCAGAAAGTATTGTTTCTGCATCCATGCCACTAGGTGTCAGTATAAGTCTAAGACAACCGCCATATGAACTAATGCAGCATTAATAAAAATGCACCTTTAATTGAGCAGCACAATGCAAAACCAAAATGTATTTGCCCATCATTTTCCATTCAAAATGGCAGAAGAGTGTTTCCCGCTGAGAGAAAAGCCCATTGTAGGATAACTGTGTGTTCATCTCTTTCAGACACTCACTAGACAGCCTGTGTTTGTTCAAGCTCTTTCAGCCCTAATTAGTGTGTGTGGTTATGTATGTGTTTATAATGGAAAGAAAAGAGGTGAAAGGAAGAGAGTATGAAAAGGCGAGAGGGAGGGTTGAGATTACTGTGGGAGGAAGTGTGTGCTCAGTATGTGTGGAATTAAGAAATAGAAAGCGAAGGGTGGGCATGTACGTGTTTATATTAATGTTAGTTACCGTGAAGGATGAGCGTATCTAATCACTTTTTATAACAAACTATATCATTAGCAGAACAATTTGTTCAGCTGAAAAATCACATGAATTTCAAAATGTTTTAGTATTTATTTTGTGCCTCTATTACAGCAGCCACTATTATTTAAATATTATTTATATACTATTCAATTATTTATAATATTTTGAATTAGCTTCCGTGTTATATTTTTAGTAACTTTTAGTAATCTTTAGTAACAAGATAACATTTTAAATTTTCAGTATTTAAGTTTTAAAGTTTTACGTTTCTTAAGATTGATTTTTTCTTTGAATATTTTAATATTCAATATGATGTATTATTTTTTAATTTAATTTAATTTAATCATTTCAGTGCAATAATTAAAAAATATATATTTTTAACACTGAGCAGTACTTGAGCTGGAGGTACTCCACAAATATATATATATATATATGTATATATAAATATGTATATAGTTACAGACTTTTTTGTCCCCACTGAATGTGTGTGTATAAATGATAAAATAAAATGTATGCATTTCTATTTTTATGACAATTGAGAAATCTTGTTGTTGCGTTTTGTAATTTTCATGACAACGACGAGGTGCATGCATACATGTAGTTACAGACATTTGGACCCCACTGAATGTGTGTGTGTGTGTGTTTATGCACCTCATTGCCTCCATCAGATACAGTGAAGGTAAAGTCATCAGAGTGTATCTCCTCTTCACTGGTATGAACAAACTGAATATTGCGGGAGGCCAGGTCAGCCTGGGTAAACGTGCTGATCCGTGTTCCTGCAACGACATCAAACAGAGAAAAACTCTCCAGTCACCAGCAGCCCAGCACTTCCTATACTGCCTTTGGTATTAAATAATAATGTAAACTCACTTGCCACCATTAAAAATATCCCACAGGTCAAGTGAAATGAATGAATAAAACATGCACTACAGCAGAACTCCCACTGAATGCAATCCGGCCATCACCAGGAGGGACAGAAAGGAAAATAAAATCTTTACCCATGAAACCTCCTTACATGATGCCCTGGTAGAGATCTATAGGCTAGATCCCATCTAATGAGTTCTCAGTCTTCATTTGAACATGATTGTGCTTAGATATACAACATACTATTTTTCTTTCACGCAAGGCCTGAACAATGCCTGGCAGTTGTGGCCAGCTTTTATAAATGTAATGCTCTGCTGAACAGGCCATACAGAACCAGGACTGGAGACTATAAATATATATTATGATCTCTCAGGCTCTTCATATTCTCTTCTATAGAGACACCAAAAACAGTGATGCTGTAGTATGTGTATTTGTGGATGAACAGAGATATATATGTGTATGTATTCTAGCACTGCACAGGACAGTAAGTGTGTGAATACAGGCTATACTGTAATATAGAGTGACACTTACCCAGTGTTCAGCAGCCCCTCACTTCAAATACTGCACTTGCTTTAAAATAATAATGTAAACTCTTCTGCCACCATTAACAAAACTCCATGGATCAACTAAAACAGCACTTTAGAGGCTAAATAAGATGTAATGCTTTGGAAGCTACTTTTGAACTGTAGCTTGCAAAGCAACAAGCTATCCATAATTTAGTTAAACTACTCTTGATACTACAAGCTACAAATAAAAAGTACCTAACGCATTGAAGTTATTTAAGGGGGCAACATCCTTTTATATGTTACTTATTTAACATTAAATTCAAGGCATTAATGTTTGCCTACAAAACCACCACTGGCTCTGCACCCATTTACCTAAATTCATTACGTCCGACTTATGTGCCCTCTAGAAGCTTGCGTTCTGCAAGTGAACGGCGTATTATTGTGCCATCCCAAAGAAGCACAAAATCACTTTCATGGACTTTTAAAGTAAATGTTCCCATGTGCTCACAGATACTTCTGTTTAATGCGTTTGAGATGTGGCGTTTTCCTCAGTGCATTTTACTGGTATGTTCTCCGTCTGTAAATGTTACAAAGTCATGCATGTCCATTTTGCTGTCAGGAGTGGACAAGACTCAGCTTGCAAGCAAATCTCGGCCAAATGTCACAGACTTCAGTGAACTTGCACAGTTGCGTGCCAAACAGACAGAATAGAATAAGAGCACAATAATTCTGATACATTTTGCTGAAATATTTGTAGGAGAAAAAAAAAAGTTTTTTTTTTGCAGTTAATATAAAGCATAGCTTATATTGTTATATTATCTATAACTTATATATATATATATATATTATATTATTCTATATTCTATATATCTTATATTACTCTTATATCTCAAAGAGGCACAAAATCACTTTCAAAGACTTTTTCATGAACTGTTCCCTCCTGGTGGAATGACCTGCCCAAATCAATCCGAGCATCTGAGCCCTTAGCCATCTTCAAGAAACGACTAAAACACATCTCTTCCACCTTTATTTTGACCCTCTAACTCTAGCACTTTCTATTCTATTTTAATTCTACGTGTAACTTTGCTTTGAAAAGTGGTGGGGACACCGCGGAACTCATTTTGCTAGTTTTTTTATTTAATAACCTAATTTACTTGGCGACTGGTTTTAGAGTTGGACAAACTTAAGTTTTGCTTTTCAAAAATACATCGATGTACCAGGGGCGGCGCCAGAGAATTTTGAACGCAGGTGCTGAGGGGGTGCTAGATCATTGACAGAGGGAGCTGGGCAATTCAGGGCTCCAGACTCATTCTTCCCACTGGTCGCTCTTTTGCGATTAACTTTCTCAGTGTGTTGCACGAGCACGGTTTTTTTTTGCGCTACAACATGCTATTAATCAATACATGCTGATGAACTTTTATCGTAGTTTATAGTTATATGGAAACGAAAGTAGTTAACATTCAACCCGTTCTTTTTCATCAGTAGTATTATTTGTGATTTGAATTAAAAAAGTAAAACTAAACTTGCTGCCAGTGAAAGTGCTTGCATGTTTTTTTTCCCCACAAGAATACCAACATGTTAACCTTCTCTGGTTTAAGAAGCAGTCTTTTACTTTACTTTAGCATGAAAACCATCAATATTCGTGTCATTTTTGCTGAGTGCACCTTCTGCAATTAATAGTAAATATAACCAAAACAGGTTATTATCATTTTTATATGAATAATAAAATAAATATAAGCAAAACTCACCCACTCGATTTTGTAATATTCTTTAATTTTGTAGTCCGTATGAAAAGGTGCATTTCTATTAAAGGCACGTCCATGTGGAGATGGCGAATAAACAGAAAGCACTAGTTTATTAAAAAATAATTAAAATGTCTTCTTTTCCCCCCGACACATTCATAATCACTTTGCCGGTGCTTTGAGGCAATTGCTTTATGCGCAAGCTTGAGAGCGGAATAGGCTCTAATCTAGCCTAATACGTCTGCCTATAGCCTATATTTAAGTATGGTTAATATATTATTATATTAATCAATTTAATATAACATGCGACTAGTTGACTAGAAACATCTTTAGTAGAGGGCAGGCTTACTTTGCACAAGGAAGCTCTCCCATTTTTAAAATAAAATGCTATAGCCTAATGACATTACGAAAAGTGCGACAGCTTCAAATCACGTCATTATTGCACCGCACGAGTTATGCATGCGTAAGGAGTCAAATGTTTTTTTTTATCACCCTAATTAGATTATGAAGAATGATTTGTTGATCTTGTTTTCCCTTTAATACATACCTTCCGCAATACATTTTTCAATTACTTTCAAAAAGTGGTAGGGACAATATCGATCCTGGCAAAAAGTGGTGGGGACATGGCCCCCCCATCCCCCCCGCAAATTA